AATGAGGAAGTATGTAGGTGGTAGGAACTTTCAGAGTTTGTACAGCAGTCCCGGGTGCCAAACTCTATCAAACGCCTGTTCAACGTCGAGAAAGACTTTTTTCTTTCCGCGCTCCAATGCAGAGGAGACTATGTCTACCACACGATGACATTGCTGTATAGTGGAATGGGAAGTTCGGAAACCAAATTGGTGATCTGGGATTATGTGTTTAGAATTTAGGATAGGGTACAGGCGTTTTAAGATGAGTTTTTCTAGGATTTTGCCCATGATGGGTAAAAGAGGGATAGGACGGTAAGAGGATGGGTATTCTGGTGGTTTTTTGGGTTTGGGGATCATTTTAACAATAGATAGTTTCCAAGGATCAGGAAAATATGTGGAACGGAGTGCAGCATTATATATGAAAGTAAGGAATAGGATGGCTTTTCGAGGAAGAAGTTTTAGGATCTGGGATGTAATTAGGTCATGTCCAGGAGCTTTAAGGGAGGGTAATTTTTGAATGATGTTGGATATTTCTGTGGGATGAAATGCTTTGGGTGGCAGGAACATTTGGAGAGGAATATCCAGTTCTGCTTCAATACAATCAGTGAGTTGAATTAAGGATATTGGGATGTGGGTTAAAAATTTGGAAGAGATGTTGATCAAATATTTGGGCTTTTTCTTCGTCGGATTTGGACCAGGTTTGGGAATCAGTAAGTAGTGGAACATGAGAAGTTTTTTGGTGGTCATCCATAGTGATTTGTCAGTGGTTGTAAGTTTTTCAGTTAGGTTAAGTAATTTTTGAGCTTTAAATTTCCTAATTTCTGCTTTTAGTTTGTAAGTCAATTCCGTATAGTACGTTTTATCTGAAGCATATCTAGTCCAGTACCACTTCGATCTTGCTCTGCGTTTTTCCCTTGATAAGATTTAAATATGCTGTGGCAAGTTAATATGTCATGAGTTATTTCTTTTGTTGACGGAAGTGTTATCATTTATAGTGGTTGTTATTGATGTGGTGAGTTTTTCTATTGCTATGTCAATATCTTGTTTTGTCTTAAGCGGAATTTTTAAGTCCAGTTTATTTTCCAGATCATCGCGAAATTTGTCCCAGTCTACTCGTTCTGTAATCAAATTAGGAAGTAAGGGTTTAGGAGCAAGATTTGAATGTAGTAAAAGCAGAACTGGACCATGATCTGATGAAAGGTCATCCAGCGATTTGATAATGGAATGCGATTTGGAAATCCGGGAGGTAATAAATATGTCCAGGATATCGGGACGTTTTTCGAGGGATGTTGGAAAATAAGTAGGATTCATGGGAGATGGATGGAATAATTGTTGGAAAAGGAAACTCGTGAAAGGGTAATACCACGGGAGTTGGATGATCGACAACCCCACCGTTGGTGTTTAGCATTGTAGTCTCCTCCAGCAATAATGTGCGATCCGAGGGATCGTAATAAGGATTCAAGTAGGCTATACGAAAGGGAATTGCCAGGAGGACAGTATACAGCTGAAAGTGTTAGATGGAAAGGACGAGATGAGAGTATTACAGAAGTTGACTGAATGGCATCTGTTGGAATGGAAGGAATAAGGGAATGCGGTAAAGATTTATGGATAAGGATGCAAGAATCGGCGTGGGCAGCGTTGTCTGGGTGGTCAGATCTATAGGTAATGTAGTCACGTATGTAGAAATGTTTCCGTTGGGTGAAGTGAGTTTCTGTTAGGAGGGCAATGTCAATATAATTGTCATGGAGAAATATCTAGTTCGTCACGGTGGTTTTGCAGTCCATTAGCGTTCCAAAAGAGAATAGCTAGGGACTTTGTGTTCATCGAGGGAAGATAAACGGGATTTCGGAAAGGAGTTTGGTTAGAAGGGTTATGAGCGGTTTGATAGTCTCTTGAAGATCTATCAGGAATGACGATAGGATAGTGTTGATGTCGGATGGTGTTTGGCTGGGAAGTGGGTTTGGATCAGGAGGTTGTGATGGGTAGGTTATGCGACTTGGAATGTTGGGTGGGGGATGGGCCCGTCGTGGGGTACAAGGAGGAGGATCTAAATTCTGTTGGACTTGTGGAAGGGGGTTCATCCTGGGATTAGGAACGAATGGAGCTGGATGTGGATGCTCTGGCGGGAGTTTGACTCTTAAGGGTAAATGATGAGGAGGGATTTGCTGACGATGGGGTTGAGGCTGAGGATTAGGGATTTTGGGCTTGGATTGGAAGGGCTGAGGTGCCTGACGTTGAGGCTGTTTCTTACTGATGGAAGACTGGGAGTGAGAATTTCTGAGATTCTGGTGAGGTGAGTCCTTAGCTGTAGAGATGGATGGTTGTTGTTGGATGATGAGGGAAGGTGAAGTCGGCAATGCTGGGAACATTTCCTGATTTTCAATTTCAGGTGCCTCAGTGTAAGTTTTCTGAGCAGATCCAAGATTTTCTACCGCTGTTTCGTGATTTTTGTTTGTAAAGACTTTTATATACTTCACAGTCTCTTTAGCTCGCAGGATGGGCTTCGCCACAAAGACCACACGTCGCAGGCTCATCTCTTGGCTTCTGGCAAGTGTCTGAAGCGTATCACATTTAACGCATCTGACTTCGTGATAACAGTAGGCCTTTGTATGGCCCAAGTTTTGACACTTCGTGCATTGTACAATTAGAGGCTTCTGTTTCGGTTCCTCAAAACGGACTATTGAGTAAACCAATCGTTGAACCTGGAATTTTCAACATTGGTTTTTGCTGGTTCCAAGTCTATAAAAAATAATGGTAGCGGATATCTTTCTCTAAGATGTAGTACAGGTGCTATGTGCCTGACATTATGACCGATTTCTTCGAGGCCTGATTTGATAGCAGATATGGGTGTGGTTGAATGTAGTCCTCTTAGGACCACTCGATAAGCCTTTTCTTGTTTTAATTGGTAACAATGGAAGTCGTAGTTATTGGTTGCTAAAAAATTGATCAGTTTTTTATAATTGTCTCTAGAATTATTATTGATTTTGATGTCGTTCACTCTCTAGTAACATCGAAAATTTGGCTGTCCGATCAAATCTGCAATTTGTTGACCAAACGACACAAAGTTCTTAATTTTTGAAACAAATATTGGCGGCGGCTCAGGATTAGAAAAATCTTGAAGCTGCGGAGTCTTGTGAGATAAGTTGTTTTCTAGAGTTGAGTTTTTGCTTTCTGATGTTTTTGGTGCAGTTGGCTCTGATTGAGTGGCATTAGATTTGCTCCTAGTTCTCGGTGGAGATTTATCTTGTTCTGGTTGCTTATTTGATTTTTTTTTTTATTAGGTGAGTTGTCCCGATCCGGGAACTGAGTTTTGGAGACGCTTTGGAGTGTACGCCTTTTCAAATATTGCGAGTCGGTCTCGCTAATTTTCGAAAAGGGTGTCTCATCCTCCGTGTCTTCACATGATGTGTTCTTATCCAGATCCATCATGATAAGTGTTAGAGAAAATTAAGAAAAAGATATATATGTGTATATATATATAAACCTAAATATTAAAATTAAAATTTATGAGATAACTTCTTAAACACTAAGCTATTTACAAAATTATTTACATAAATATATACAGATATAAAATAAAATATAAAATAATTCATTTCCCAAAGATAAATAATCAAAGAAAATAATGAAATAAAAGAGTCCCTGGAAAGAAAAAAGAAAATATAAAAAAAAAAAATGAAGTTAAATATCTTGGATTCGAACTGAGAATAACACTGAAGAATGTTATTGTACACAGTGCCGAGCCTTGGCCGTGAACTTATCGCAGATAAGGTAAAACCCGCAAGGGAATTACAAGCCACATGGGCTAACCAAACGAGCACTAATTTATAACTGTTTCATTGTTAATAAATAGTCACTCATCTGATCATATGTGAATATAAAAATGTAAAACTATTAATATAGTCACTGTTGAAAAAGTCTTACAGCAGTATTTTAAATAATAAATTCATTAGATTGTAACAAATACAGATCGACGTATAAGTTGAATTGCACTAGCGGTCATGACACTTCCTACTACGAATTTAAAAATTAGAAATTACAAAACCATTATCTTCCCTACGGTTCTTTATGGATGCGAAAAGTGGCCGCTTACATTAAGGGATGAGGAACGTCTTACGGTTTTTGAAAATAAAGCATTGTGCACAATATTAGGACCGAAAAAAGACGACTCAACCGGAGAATTTAGGCGGTTATAAAATGTTGAATTGCGTGAACTGTATCCGGTTAATAAATATAATTGAGATGATTAAGTTGAGGAGAATAAAATGGGCATGTAAAATCGCGGGGCTTAGAAACGAAAGAATTCCCTAAAAGTTAACATGCGCTGTACGGACTGGCAAGCTTCCGAGGGATAGACAAAATCGAAGGTGGGGAGATTGCGTTAAGGCTGATCTGTCAGAGTTGGATTTAGACGGAGCCCAGTGGATAGAAGAATGTGAACAACGCTTAGTGGTATCGGCATCGAAACTTCGGGTTCGCTGAACCTTATTTTTTAAAGCCTGATGAAAGAACTTATTATACTGCTGCTGTAAATATCCAACAATATCTTGTCCATTAAAACTCTGAAATTCCTATACAAAGCTATTCTTCATGAGTTAGTTTTATCTTCCTTGATACTTTGATTCCTAAACATTGTCTTCGCAAAATGGTTAAGTGAAAGGATTTATTTATTTTTTGTCCTCCGATTTTCTTCTTAACAGTAGAAAATTGATTCTTTGAAATTTGATATTAATATCCCAGGATGTAACTTTACTATGAGAAGTAACTTTTTACCATCATAGCTTCTTATGTATAAATAAAAATTTAACGTAAAGAAATAACTTCAGTCAATTAAACGTGAAAATTGGGATTAATGTATAGTTTTATCCTAATTTTTTATATTGAAATTAAAAAAAAAAGAATTGATAATGTAATATCTTTTACCTAGGTATCCAAAAATGTTATTCAATATCATTCAGAAAAAATAAAAATGAATTTTTAACTTAAACTGAGAAATATGCAATTTGCAATGGATTCATGCTTACCATCACTCTCTGTTGTTGGTTCTGTCTCGTTTTTTTCTCTGTTTGATTTATGACATTCTTCCATTTCAAGAGGGGACTGTATATATATATTTTCTATAAAAATCTTGTTATTTGATGATGCATTTGTTTTTGCAGGATTGTTGGTGTCTATTATAATAACTGTAATATGAAAAAAAAATTTAAGATATATTATTATTGAAAATTATCGTAATATTAATCTAATAGTTTTATTTTATTGAATTCCTTAGAAAAACATTCTATAAAGGATTCTATAATAGAATTAATGGAATAAGGTAAAAACCAATTGCAAAGGAACTCAAGAAAAATTACTTAAAGTTAACAACTTAAACCTGTTTAATTGTGGCTACTCATAGTTTGAACTACAGCAGCAGCCAAAGTTTGATTATTATTTAAAAAATTAAAGCGGAAAGTAAATTAAAAAAAAAAAATAATTACAGAACCCTCCGAGGCGTCTGAAAAAAAGATACATTTTGTAAATACAAATACTCCTTTTGTAAATACATTTTTAGAGTGCTACCAGTGGGTAGTTTCTCAACAAGTGGTTTCATGTTATTATATACTTTTGTTCACATTTACTGAATGTATTTTTATTTGTAATACAGTTGTAAATATCACCAATAAAAAAAAAAAAAAACTCGGTCAGACAGCGTTAGTACACCTCGTGGTTCACCAGCCAAACAAAGAACTCGTCGCTACCTACGGTAAATACCCCCAGAGACCAAAGTGAACTCTTCAGAACCAGAACCTCAGCCCCAACCAGGTACGTCTTCCCAAGAAATGATCGAAGAATCCCCTTCTTTTACTCCAAACCCCTACCAAGTGCTTCCAAATGACCGAGAGGTAATGGAGTCTGCAGCTATACTCACAGAACCAAGGCCTCCTCCGATATTTGTGAAAATTATCAAAAATTTCCAGTTGTTCTGCACCCAACTAAATCAAATCTGCTCTGACAGTTATTCGTGCCTTAACAGGCCCAATACAAATATAACACCAGATACTGCTGAACTCTACCGAATAATAGTGAAGTACCTCTCAGAAACGAATGCGAATTTTCATACATACAAGCTTAGGCAGGAGAGATCGTTACGAGTAGTAATAAGTAATTTACACTTCTCAACCCCAACTAAAGTGATAAAAGAAGAACTAAGTCTGCGCTTGGCCTCAAAGTAAGTCAGGTAACTAACGTTCTGAAGGAGAATAAGGAGCAGCCTGTAGTAAAATATAAAGTACCACTACTTAGAGGTAAGAACTCTACCGATAACTGTCAAGCTCTGCTACAACAACAACCTCAATCCCAACCTCAAAATCCTATTGATCCGATTATACCTCACTGTCTACAACAAATTCATCATATCCCTCCTCCTTCAAATGTGACAGATCTCAAGAGTTTGTTAGCATCTTTCCTCACCGATTTCAAATCCTTAGTTACTCCACTCATATCACTCCTCACAAATCTCGTATCTCACCTCATATCTCCTTTAAAAACCCCTTAATGACTCATATCCCAAAACCCATATCCATTCTCCTATGGAATGTGACTGGTGTTAGAAATCACGTTGACGACCTAACAGCTTTATTACTGGACAAGAACATCGACGTAGCACTAATTACGGAAAAACGACTAACCAGAGAACAGCATTTAAAAATACCTCTATACCTTAATACATAACATACCGTATTGACCATCCTGACGGTAAAGCACATGCCGGTACTGCTGTTATTGTACACCACTCCCTTTCTCATCACCAGCTCGCATTACCGACACAGGATTTCCTACAATCCACCGCTATCGTAATCAAAACCTTCTCCTTTCCCGTCACCATAGCATCAGCTTATTGCTCTCTTAACAGATCCATATCCAATATCCAGTTCAGTTCTCTTCTCAACTCCTTAGGACATCACGTTATCCTGGGTGGAAATTTAAACGCCAAACAACATTCAGATTCCCTCAATCATTATCTTACCCATCTTGCGGAACTATCCTCTGATCACAGTCCATTATTACTCCAATTATCTCTAGCTCCTATTCCTAAGTCTTCTCCACTGTCCTTTATCAGAGGCCCAGTTAACTGGAAACTCTTTCACCAAATCCTTTCCGATAAAATTGACCTCAGAACAACCCTGAAAACCCCAGAAGACCTTTACAATGCCGTACACTTTTTTACCACCATTATCCAATAAGCAATCTGGACTGATTCCTTTCCAAACCATTCGTCAAGAACTCCCAAGAAAAATAAGTTACCTCAACAACTCATAGACCTAATCCACACCAAACGCCGTGCCAGATTATTATGGCAACGTGCTAGACATCCCACCGATCCTCAATCCTATAATTATTTCTGCAAAAAATTAAAGCTAGAATTGGCCACCTTCAGATCCCAATCCTTCAACTCCTACCTTACATTCCTCTCTTCTCATGACTATTCCCTACGGAAGATCACTAAACAAATCCTAAAACCCCATCATATATCACATCCTTTCCTATAGCTCTTGGGCAGCGTCAGACGAAGATAGAGCCGAGGAATTCGCCAAACACCTTTCCCTTACATTCACCTCTCATCCGGAATCCAACCCCACCCACACGTCAGCAGCAAAGGAATTCCATAATCCACCCATCCCACTCTCCTTACCGCCTAAAGCAGTTAATCCTTCTGAGGTGAAATACCACTTACAAAAACTACCTACCCGCAAATCACCTGGATACGACCACATTACCTCTCAGATCCTGAGATAACTCTCTCCTAAAGCTGTCATATTCCTTACATACATATACAATAGCATCCTACTGACCATCCTCTTTCTTCTTTTATGGAAACATTCTACTATTATCCTATTCCCAAAATCAGGTAAACATCCCAACAGCTTCACTTCCTACAGACCCATTAGCCTACTTCCAATCCTTTCAAAAATCCTTGAAAAGGTCCTCCTGGAAAGAATCCTACCCTTTATAGAATCTCAAAATCTTTCTTCACACCAGCTCGGATTCCGTTCCAAACACTTTACAGTCCAACTAGGACTTCGAGTGGTTGATCATATTTTCGCAGCCCTGGAAAGCTAGACATATTGCTCGGGTGCATTTATGGTCATAGCTCAAGCTTTTGACCGAGTATGGCACGCCGGGCATCTTTTCAAACTTAAAACCCATCTTCCTCAGTCCTTATATCATGTCCTCCTTTCCTACCTCTCAGATCGTACCTTCTGAGTTCGCTACGGCACTGAATTTTCAAATTGCTATCCAATTGAGGCTGGTATTCCTCAAGGTAGCGTATTGCTTCCCGTGCTTTACATTCTCTTAACCGCCTATATCCCTGTCTATTCCGATACCTTCCTAGCAACTTTTGCTGGTGACACCGCCATTCTATCATTCGACTCAGATCCTGATATAGCATCCTTAAACCTTCAAAGACACCTCTTCCTGATTGAGCACTGGTGTAATAAATGGCGTATTAAAGTAAATGGATCCAAATGTCAACACATCACCTTCACACTCCGACGCAATTCCTGTCCACCAGTACACTTTAATTCCATCCAGCTTCCTTTCTTAGACACAAGTACCTTGGCTTTCTCTTAGATAGACGACGGACGTGGAACCCTCATACTAGGCTTAAAAGACAGGAACTTAACTGACGATACGGCCAACTATACATACTACTAGATAGAAAATCTAAACTCTCTATTGAAAATAAAATACTTATCTACAAGACAATACTGAAACTTACTTGGACATACGGATTTGAACTGTGGTGAACAGTAAAATTTTTTAACATCAAACGCATCCAATCCTTCCAATCCAAAGTTCTACGTACAATAGTCGATGCTCCTATCTATGTAACCAACAAAACCCTACACCATGAACTTAATATCCCATTTGCCCTAGACCTTATCCTAGCAAAATTTTCCAAATTTCACCAGAACCTTACCTACCATCCATATCCCTTTGCACAATCCCTATCCAGCACCACCCATCCCCATAATCCTCCAAGAAGGTTAAAACGGCAGTGGCCCCGCGACCTTTTATAGTTAGTTTATTCGAATCCTGGCAATGGTCAGATTCTCCACTCACGACATGAGTGTATGTGGCTAAAGCACTCTTGCTCAATTTCCACTGAGTTTAGCCCCAGTGACGCGGTTGAGAGAAAAGTGCAGGGATCTCCTGGAGTCATGCTTTTTCCTCCACAGTTTGAAGGACAAGTCTGGTTTGGAGTTCTCTCTCATCATTGTAAACATTGTACATAGGTATTTATGTGTTCTTTATATTTATTAATTTTTGGTTTATTTTATTCTTATTTATTGTATATATATTATTTTTTTGTATAATTTATTTGTATAATTTTTGTATATTTATTGTACATAGAGTGTGAATGTGATCTCTGAACACTATTATAAATGTCTTTGAGAGAAAATGTAATATTTATCAAAAAAAAAAACAAAAAAAAAACTTGTATATAGTCATTTGAAAATATACTAAATTACCTACAAAATAAAAAAAAAACCGGACTATTTGTTAAAAATACATGCTGTTCCAAATATATAGCAAATGTTCTAAAGCTGACCATTATTTTGTCTTAAAGAAAATGTATGACGGATCTTTGTAATTGTTGGACTGATTTCGATGAAAGTTTGTTTTATCGTTTAGGAAATTTTAATGTCTTCAAAATATATTCTGAACCAAAATGGGCAATAGTGCACCATTTTTGAGCTATTCGCAAATAAAGTTTTGAATTCGTCAAAACTCTTTTCAAGTCCTCTTTCGAGGAAGTATGTTATATACATAAATTCATAGTGTTTCATTTTGAATACTTTAGGAAAGTATTTATCAATACCGTTACTGCCGTTTTAGTGCTGTAGTCTATAGAAAACCAAGTTTTTCAGCCGCCATCTTGAAAAAATGGGGCTGGTGATACCAAAAGACACCTCTCCAACACCAGCTTAATATATTTCCAAAATTTAGACCTTCCAACTTTGTTAGAAAGAGATGTGGAGATACTTAATACTTAATAAAAATAGGGAAAAACGTGAAAAAACATTCTTACATGGCTACATTTTTCCAAAGTTTAATAGTATTGTTCCGCCTGGGAATAAAACCTATATACCGAATTTCAGCTTATTCGGTCAAACATGAGCAACTGACGTAGCGGAAATATAAATCTTATATCTCTAAAGATTGCAGAATCGTGCTCTAGGGGTTCGAAAACGAGTAGAAACCGCAACCCCGCCTTCTACTGACGATTTTCCAGACAGTGCAAATTGTCTATTATTTCCGTAGGGAAATAGACAAAAATGTTTTAAAAAATCTAGAACAGAGTAATATGAGCTCGGGCCTACTTACCATCTCCTTCAGTTGTTTTTTCCACATCAGTTTTCGCTTCTTCAATAAACCATTGGTTGTTTTGATCTGTTTCTGAAGTAGACTCAACTGTTTCGATAAATATCTTATTGTTTTCATTTGATCTTTCTGGGTGTTCACCGTCTATAATAACAACTAAAATTCGAGAATTATAGGATAAAGATTAGTTTAATTTAAACTGATACAAATTTTTGTTGACAATATATCTATTGTATTATCATGACACAAGGATACTATTAATATTATCTATCTGTTTATTATAAGAATATTGATTTTTAAACCCCTGATAAAAACAAAATATAAACTTTTAATGGATCAGTTAATGTAGAATATTTTAGTTTAATACCTATGAAAACTATAAAATATGTTCTTACATGTATATATACACACACACACACGCACGCACGCACGCACGCACACACGCACGCACGCACGCACGCACGCACGCACGCACACACACACACACACACACACATATTTAATTCCGGCATTAATGCCCTGCAGACCCATTTAGGCCTATTGAGGGCCGTCCTACTCTTTGTTAAAACAGGCTAGTAGCCTTTGTCAACTTGTTTATGTTGTTAAAATCAATAAATTTGCACAGCTTAGGATCAATAATGCACTCACAACAAAAATGGTAATATTTATTTTTATTCAATACATCACATCTGCACATAGTGATAGGTGGTTTCATCCTTGTTGGAAACCAATGCCGCATGTGTATTGTACCAATATTATACCAATTAATATTGTAAATCTACCTGGCATTACTATTTTTTTTGTAACGTTCTTAATTACTACTTCATCTGTGTATTAATGCCAGTTTTTGTAATTTGGTAATTTAATTATTTAGAAATAAATTTCCTTTTTGTTTACATCGTGTTTCTTTTTCTTCATCACCAAAGTTTCAAATCGGAACTCCAAAACTGGCTCCGCGGTGAGTGCTTCCTTTCTCTAATAAAAACTATTTAAATGCTCATCAGTAAAGAGGAATAGTCTAACTTTCTTCAAGAGCTGAGTGAGCGGTGAAATTAGAACAGCCGCTTTGGGTAGAAACTCACGATAGTAGTTTATCACATCTAAGAAACTCTTAAGTTCCTTTTGATTGGTTTGGGACTGTACCCTAACGATGGCATATACCCTGGCTGGATCTGGTTTGACCTCTTTCAGACCGTTCAGAGATGAGATGCCCTAAAAAAATTATATCCCCTTGATAGAAATGTCTGTTTGGATAATTTCAAACCGAATTCCCGAATGCGCCCAAATACCAATTTGACGTGATCTATATGGTTCGAGGGGGATGACCTAAATATGATAAGATCGTTACGGCTCCCGTTGAAGTGGGTACCGTTCTTCCACAGCGTTGTCGTTTAGTTTCCTATAATTGATTACTAAACGATACGATGGATCACCTTGCTGATTTTGTCTCTTTTTCTGTACGACTCACAACAGACTACTAAACGGGGAGGTACTATGCCATATGATTCATTGGCGAAGGAGATCGCTTCTCCGTTCATTTATTATTGCCGTCATAGACTGCGGATATCTAAGCCCTTTGGTATAGAAGACTTTGTTCTCTTAAAGTAATAACTCATGTGCTGTTTTCCCGGTCGCGGGTAATGGGCATCCCTCCATGTAAAATATGCCCATAAACTCGGACAACAGTAATTCTATTTCGGGTTCTCTTATGCGGACTACTTCTACACGATACTCGTCTCCATTATTTATAAGTCTACCGTGATATACTTCCGTTTCCAGGGTCATTTCCCACCTTCCTCGCCTACCTTTTAGCTGAAATCCTACTTTGTCCAGTACATCATACCCGATTAGGATATTATATCGATCGGTCAATTTCTCTAACAAGTGAAAAACTACTCCAATTTTTACCCCTGTGAGATTCTCTAGTATATATACTCTCCCAATACCCTGCAAGGGCCACTCAAAGTGTTGACAGAACATTTACATACCTTGATCTCATACTTCCACACAACCTCTTCAACAACCCTCTGCTGACCAAGGTACTGGTACTACCAGTAACGATTAGCGTTCTAATCCCTTTGCTACAGTCCTGTATTACGGGTAACCTCTCCCACACTCCGCATAAGCTATTTACAAACTGCTGTCTTCTTGGGTTCCTCTCGCCTTCTCAGGTGCTAGTTTCCTTCCGCATGTCGGCTTTTGTCGGCTCTATTGGATTTGTTCTTCTGACTCGTCTGGTCAGCTGCTTTTTTAAACCAATTTTCGCCACTTGTACTTATGATCATTTTCATCTTTTCTAGAACTTCTTTTTTGGGAATATTCTCCCGAGCTCGAAGCTGAAGTATCTCTGGAATGCCTCGTCGTTTGGATGTTTACCTTCATGGGTTCTCGATCTGGGTTTCTTCTGTAAATCCAGGGTAATGCCCAAGAAGAAAGAAATAATAAGAAAGAAATACAAGAAGACCTAAATCGGATTTGTGCCTTGGCAAGTGAAAGTGGACTAAGGTTAAATGCTGCTAAAACCCAAGCCATTGCCTTGGTTCCAAACCCCTTCTCAGATCCAATACCAACATACCTCTCCTGTACCTAAATGACCAACCCATCACCTTCAACACTTCAGTTAAAAACTTAGGTGTTATCATCAAAACCTCTCCTGGAATCACCACATTTCCCTCATATCCCGACGTTCAATTTCCATCCTGAAACTCTTCCATCGCTTCCGCCATCTCCTGCCCATATCCACACGTAGACTCCTAGTATCCGCCCTCATTTTCCCCCACATTGACTACGGCTGCGTAGCGGACGGTGGCCTCTCATCGGAACTTGGAGACAGACTGAAAAGAATAATGAATGGCTTAGTACGATTTGTCAATGTAACCCCGAGACGTTCTCATGTTTCCAACTACTACGCCGAGTTAGGGTTGCTCTTTTCCTCCTTCAGAAGACAGTATTTCCTAAGTACATTCCTTTACCAAATAATCTATAATCTTCATCCGTCCTACGCATTCAATCTCCTTCAATTCAAGTCATCTATCCACTCCCTCTCTACAAGATCTCGTCCTTCCGACCTTTATACCACTTTCCACAAATCGGCCTGATTTCAACACTCCTTTATTGTCCGCTCCACCATATTTTGGAATTCCATCACACTTAAAATCCGCCATGTACCATCCTTATCCACTTTTAAAACCCTCTTATTCCAATTTCTCCTTACAATTCAATCAGACGCTGGGTAGCCATTTATAATGTATATTATATATGTATGTAATCTCCCATATATGTATATTATCTTTTCTTTTATCTATTCAATCAACATGATAGGATTTATATTATATAGAATTTGTATAATGTTTACAATACTATTATTGTATTCTTCGAACATGCTTAGATACATATGTAAATCATTTAAAGTAAATATTTATCCAATCTTTTATTATTATTTTTTTTTATTAATATAATGGCATGACAACAAAAGTTATTTGTAGCTCATTTATAATTCCATAGCTTATTATTTGTAGCAACTAATATGCAGTATTAGGACCTTATTGCTCATATTATGTCTTTACTATATCTGTACAGTTATGTAAATACTTCTTTTATCTTTTATACTTATTTTTTAGTTTTATTTTATTTTTTTATTGTAATATGCATTTTGGCCAGATGTAATGTTACTTTTATGTACAATATTGTTATTCTCAAGGGACTTTGTCCCAAAATTAAGTTGATTCTTCTATTCTATTCTATTATATATATATATAAAACTTACATCTCTAAAGATTACAGAACCGCGCTCTAGGGGTTCCAAAACGGATAGAAACCTCCACCCCGCCTTCTACTGACAATTTTCGATACAGTGCAAATAGTATATTATTTCCGAAGGGAAATAGACAAAAATGTTTTAAAAAATCTAAAACAGAGTAATATGAGCTCGGGCCTACTTACCATCTCCTTCAGTTGTTTTATCCACATCAGTTTTCGCTTCTTCACTAAACCATTGGTTGTTTTGATCTGTTTCTGAAGAAGACTCAACTGTTTCGATAAAAATCTTATTGTTTTCATCTGATCGTTCTGGGTGTTCACCGTCTATAATAACAACTGAAATTCGAGAATTATAGGATAAAGATTAGTTTAATTTAAACTGATACAAATTTTTTTGACAATATATCTATTGTATTATCATGACATAAGGATAAAATTAATATTATCTATCTGTTTGTTATAAGAATATTAATTTTTAAATCCCTAACAAAAACAAAAAAATACTTTTGATGCATCAGTTAATACATATATATATATATATATATATATATATATATATATATATATATATATATATATATATATATATATATATTAACTGATGCATATATATAAACATAATTATTTAAATTGGGAATCAGGTCACTTAATAATTATTAAATAAACTACAAAATGTTCATTGATCCTGCTGTTTCGATACCGTTTTTTTTTTTAGTTAACAATGGGATCCTTTTCAATGCTAGAATAACAAATAGCTCAATCGGTACACAATTCAATGTGGTACATCATTCCGTGCTTCCATATGTTTCAAATCAAATTTGAAATTGTATTAAGTGATCATATAATTTAAATATATGAATATTCAATTTATGATATTTGAAACACATGAAAGCATAATTATGTACCGATTGAGCTATTTGTTGTTCTAGCATTGAAAAGGATCCCATTGTTAACTAAAAAAAAAACGGTATCGAAACAGCAGGATCAATGAACATTTTGTAGTTTATTTCATAATTATTAAGTGACCTGACTCCCTACGGCCTATTGTGAGGCCTATAATGAGACAAGGATAAAATTAATATTATCTACCTGTTTGTTATAAGAATATTAATTTTTGAATCCCTGATAAAAACAAAACTTTAATGCATCAGTTAATGTAGAATATTTTATTTTAATACCTATGAAAACTATACAATATGTTCTTATATATATATATTTAATTCCGGCATTAATGCACTACAGACCCATTTAGGCCTATTGTGGGCCATCCTACTCTTTGTTAAAACAGTCCAGTAGACTTTGTCAACTTGTATATGCTGGTAGGATCAATCAATTTGCAGAGCTTAGGATCAATTATGCAGTCACAACATTACCGTTGTTTGTTCCGCCTGGGAATAAAACCTATATACCGAATTTCAGCTTATTCGGTCAAACATGGGCAGCTGTCGTAGCGGGAATATAAATCTTATATCTCTAAAGATTGCAGAATCGTGCTCTAGGGGTTCCAAAACGGATAGAAACCGCAACCCCGCCTTCTACTGACGATTTTCCAGACAGTGCAAATTGTCTATTATTTCCGAAGGGATATAGACAAAAATGTTTTAAAAAATCTAGAACAGAGTAATATGAGCTCGGGCCTACTTACCATCTCCTTCAGTTGTTTTTTCCAAACCAGTTTTCGCTTCTTCAATAAACCATTGGTTGTTTTGATCTGTTTCTGAAGTAGACTCAACTGTTTCGATAAATATCTTATTGTTTTCATCTGATCTTTCTGGGTGTTCACCGTCTATAATAACAACTGAAATTCGAGAATTATAGGATAAAGATTAGTTTAATTTAAACTGATATAAATTTTTTTTGACAATATATCTATTGTATTATCATGACACAAGGATACAATTAATATTATCTATCATTTTTTTATAAGAATATTAATTTTTAAATCCCTGATAAAAAGAAAATATAAACTTTTAAGTTAATGTAGAATATTTTAGTTTAATACCTATGAAAACTATAAAATATGTTCTTATATGTATATATATATTTAATTCCGGCATTAATGCACTGAAGACCCATTTAGGCCTTACACCACATCTGCACATAGCGACTTTCGCTAATTAATATTGTAAATCTACATGGCAACACGTTTTTTTTTGTAACGTTGTTAATTGATACTTCATCTGTTAATTAATGCCAATTTTTGTAGTTTTGTAATTTAATTATTTAGAAGTAAATTTTCGTTTTGTTCACATTGTGTTTCTTTTTCTTCATCACTAAATTTCAGAAATTCATACAGGTTATGGACTCAGTTAATGCAAACTGAAAATTTAATTAACTTTAGTATAAAAAAAGTGAACTTGGTGATGAAGATTGTTTACTTACCTTTTTTTCCCCCAAATAATCAGGTAAGCAAGGACGTTTCCATTAATTTATTTACAATGTCTACCACGAGTACCGGTGTTCCCTTAGATTTTAAAAAAATAAAAGGTAGTCGGAACTACATTGAGTGGAAATTCGCGATGGAAGTTCACCTAATCAACTATGATTTGTGGGATCACATACAAAAAAATGCAACTGATGAAAGGTTGGGCCACAAGGCCATGGCAATATAGTAGTTTCTGGTGTCATTTACGCTGATATTGGTGAGCTGAAAACTGTGAAAGAGGTATGGAAGAGGCTTGAAGAAATATATGATAAAAGTTTTTCGCGTGTAGGCTCTCTTCTTGAACAATTAGTAAATATACGATAAATAGGTTGTAAGGATATGGCGGAGTGTGTAAATAAGAAGATAAAGTTGGCTCAACAGCTAAAATTAATTGACCACAAAATCAGTGTCCTTGCTGCAAATTGTGGTGCCACTCTCACATCTGATTTAGTTAAGGAGAAGCTCAGTTGGTAGAAGCCAGGAAGTATGAATCTCCAAGTGAAACTCCTTGTTCTCAAAGCCTGGCAGGGGAAGATTGGCTCACATCAAGCGTTACAATTGTAGCCAGTTTGGACACTATGCCAATAAGTGTCCTTAACCTTTCATGAGGAACCCGAATACGGATAGGAGTACGGGACCCTCCATCGGCCAGAGTCTTGTTCTGGAAAATTCAATTTTAGTGACTGGAGCTCTTGATTCCAACGAGTGGTACATTGATTTGGGAGCAACGATCCACGTAACAGGGAGAAAGGATTGGTTGGCCAATATTAGAGAGCCAAATATAAAAGCTACTGTTACTACGGCTTCGGATGAAATATTGCCCATTACTGTTGTAGGGGATGCGCAGGTTTTGCTCGAAGTTAGCAGCAAAGCTAAGATGACTCCCATCAGAAATGTAAGCTATGTTCCCGGTCTTAAATATAACCTGATTGCATATGTTGAACTTGGTCGGAAAGGCCTGCGAACAACCAATATATGTGCAGCATTTATAAATTTAATCTCCTTTGTTAATAAATAAATATTGTCTGTTTTATCTATTGTTTTTTTATATTCCTTTGTTGATTTAAAATGCTTTCTGTTTCAAGTTAAACTGGATAGTTCTTCAATCAATTGCTAATTGATTGTATTTTATTCTTACAGTTATATTTTTCACTATTAGTATTTTTTTACTTGGAATATCCTATATGATAAAATTGAAAATATATTATAGCCAACGATCTCTAATTTCCCAAAAAAGTAATGAAAAATTAATAAAATAAGGGAAAGCTTAGATTCTGGACTAACGGAAAATTCATGTGTGACGAACATTAATACAATTTATCATATTATGGTTACCAATCCACTTCATTGATAACAGATATATTGACTGGAAAATAGAAATTTTCAAATTATACAAAAACTAAGTTATACCACTCCGAAACAAATACTCTCCTCTCACCTGTAAATTGAACAATTATTTTTTTTACTTCAGATGCAATATACAATATCTATATTATGGTAAGAGGTAAACCATTTCATAAAACATATTTTCTTATCAATGATCAGAAATGATTCTATTGATGGAGGATCAGATTTTGAATTACTTAAATATTTAATAATAGTGGATTTATAATGGTTTGTGTTGCCCAAAATCGGTCTTGGTCATGCACTTTGCAAGACCAAAACTAAGGCCGCCTAACTGTTGTAAGACCAAGACCAAAACTGGTAAAAAAAAAAAAATCCTTTTTGTGACTAAAAATTAAGGCAAAATAGTCACTAAAATTAAGACAATTTTAGTTACTATATGGAAAGAATCGGTATAACCAATATCCTTTGGAATTTAACTCTTCCAATTTTTAAGTCGGGCTTATTTAGGTTTCTCATATCTGAAAATATACAGTAATATCTCTATAATAATAAGCTAATAGGTAAATGCAAGACCAAGACCAAGACTCGTCTTAGTCTCGCATTTGGGCAACACTAGTTATGGTGTTCAGTCACCAGAATAAAGTAAAAATAAATAATTTATATTTATTAAATTTACATTAAATAATTTACATTCATTAACTTTACATTAAATAATTTACATTCATTAAATTTACATTCATTAAATTTATATTTATTAAATTTACATTAGATAATTTATATTTATTAGATTTACATTAAATAATTAATATTTACTAAATATACTTTAAATAATTTATATCCATTAAATTTACATTAAATGATTTATATTCATTAAAATTACATTAAATAATTTACATTTATTTAAAGCTTTGTTTTTTTCGAAGGAGAATATTAAGAAGAAAAATAAAATTAGTTTCATGGTTGCTGACTTAGGATTGAGTTTCTAGTTTTCCTATGAAAGTCAATTTTCACTCAGTTTTTGTTTAATGTTTTAATAATTGTATATTTTTTTGTGTGAAATTTGCCAATGAGAGAATTAGATGAATAAAATGGAAATCGCAATATGCCAAAGTTTATTAAAATATGTTTTTAAAAATGTTAAATGAAAGATAATAAAATATTGTTCTTTGATTTTATTATTTATTTTAGTTTGATATAAGTGATTCAGAGGCCACATTCAACTTGCCCTACTTTTATTCTGTCTTCCAAACTCTTCTAGTCAATATTTTTTTGCAATAATTACTTTACAAAGAAAGAGTAGTCAAATATTAATTTCCCGCTGACCCAATATGGCCGCCACATCGGTATGGCCCCACTGTATTATTAAGTCACTGTAGCTATTAAATGGAGACAGCGATCCCGACGAGAAATGAAGGAAACACTGATTCTGTTTAATTTAAATAGCTTTCCGAAACAGCTACAGAAGCTGTTCAATTTAAACAGATACAGAAACCTGTTTCATTTAAACAGCTTCTTGCAACAGATACGCAAACAGTTTTCTGAAACAGATAGAGAAAGCTGTTTAATTTAAACAGCTTCTTGCAACAGATACAGAAACAGTTCTCAGTTCAGTTCTATTTGCTCATTATTTTCATTAATAAATTTATATGATACCTTTTAAACATGTTATAATTCAAAATTATAATTTTATGTCACTTTGACTTTTATCAGGATATGTTTTAAAAGCATAAAATAGATAGTTTTACTTTTATAAAATAAAATAAGAACTATTCAAAGGGTGAAGTGATCGCGTCCGGACAGTTAGTCCACGAGCCCTGTATAACACGATAAGTAAACGATAACATTTTTCGCCAACTCAGCCCACTACACAAAGCAATAACATGCCCAGGCCCTATCAAAAACGGCGAAATGCTCTCAAACTTTCTAAAGACTTAGGCCAGGCTCAACTCAAAGCTTTATTTTGGAACGCAGGCGGTTTAACCAAAGATAAATTCACCGAATTGAAACGTATAGTGACAGAATGTGATGTAGACTTATGCGCGATCGTCGAAGCAGGAGCGGCAACTGACAAACCTGATATGCACCGAATTCATGTATACCAGACATATTTCCTCCCAACAGCAAGACAAGTTGCATCTGGTATTATGCTAGCTGTTAAGGCATCCATCGTTACGGATATGAAAATTAGGAAACAGCAAGTGATAAATGGAATATGCAAGTGATAAATCCGAGGCTCTGGAATCAAATTTGTGGTATGGCAAGCGGCACTTCCGAATATTCGTAATGTATAACCCTTGTCAAAACAGACCGGACCTCACATGGTTGGAAAGGAATTGGAATAGAGAGAGTATACTATATGGAGACCTGAATGCCCCTTCCACTATATGGGGATATAACACTGATACTGTAGAATATTTGAAGATTTCCTTAATTCAAACCCTGCACAATATATTCGAAATGAAACAAAACGTCCTACTTTTCTTTCTTTCACTGGCAGAACCTCCTGCCCTGATGTTGTATTGGCGCACACATCAATCTCTGATAACATAAAGCATACCCTACTACCAGCTATAGCAGGTTTCGGACACAATATCCTTTTGGTTAACTTGCACCTGAATCAAAATAATAATAGTAAGACCAATCAACTACAACTGACAGATGAACTCATCACTGACAAATTAATCATAAACGGAAACGTAGATAAAACATACACTAATATAAAAGGAAATTTATATAGGTGTGCCCTGAAGACTATTCCCCGAGGAACAATACGAAAATATAGTTCTTCCTGGAATGAAGAACTGCAAAAGCTAGAAGAAGAAAGAGATGATTTTAGAAAAAGACCTGAGAGCTCCAAAAATCATACAATTATAAGTTTACTAAAAAGGAAAACAGCTAAATTTAAAAGAAAAGTTATTTCAGCTAAACAATACTCATTTAGAACGTTGCTAGAGAAAATGGACTTTAGAAAAGATGGAGGTAAGGCACATAAATTTCATTCAAAAATAAATAATAAATCAAACTTGGCAAACCATCCAATAACTTTCGTTGGGAAAACAATTAGCAAGCTAAAAGAAATAGCCAAGTCCTTCTGCAAACACTACTCCAAAGTAAGCAATTACAAATCAAAAAAAGGAAATCCAGCCACAAACTCCACACATTGGTGTGTAGTAAGTGAAGAAGATTATACACTATTCTGGGGAGATATCCAAACGCAAGAACTAAATGATGCTCGTACTAAATCTAAGGAAGGTAAAACCGCAGGCCCAGATGACATACTGTCGGAATTTCTTATACATCTTGAGAATATGGCCAAAGAAACAGTACTAACATTTTTAAATACTGTTTGGAAAACACATATTCCGTGTGAATGAAGGAAATCAGAAGTGGTACCAATCTTGAAGAGAGAAAAAAACAAGATATAGCAGAAAATTTCAGACCCATTGCATTAACAAGCACTTTTTCGATGCTCTACGAGAGAATCGTTGCAGAAAGATTTCATAAATACATAGAAAAATATGATATAATATCTTCTTACCAAGCTTCAAGAAAAATCGAAACACTGTTGAACAAGTAGCTCATCTAACACAAGAAATAAAAACGGCTTCCAAAGAAAACAGAGCACCCTGGCAATATTCGTAGATTTTAAGACGACATATGATAGAGTTTGGAGAAAGAATGCGGATCTTCTTTCTTACATCAAAGGCTTATAAAGGTGCGATATAAAAACATTGTCTCGACATATCGCCAAACAAAACAAGGCCTCCCACAAGGTTCTTTGCTGAGTTCCTTCCTGTTTAACATCATGATTGATGATATCACAGAACTCACTGAAACTATTCCGGGTACAAATGGTCTGCTGTACGCAGATGACCTCGTCATTTGGGCAACAAGTAGTGACTTTAAAGGACTAGAAAAGCACATGCAACAGGTACTGAAATTACTAGAGAAGTGGGCCAATGAAAACGAGATGATCGTTAATTCCAAAAAGACGGAATTCCAGCTTTTTACCCTTTCTACCAAATCATATCATATCTATTCTACCAAATAGAACAGGCTTCAACACGAATTTCATTAATACAGAGGTTAGGTGGCTCAAAATGGGGAGCAACAGGTGATGTTATGGGTCTTGCCTACAAAACATATGTCCGCCCTGTTATTGAATATGGCGCAGAACTTATTATCACTGCTTCGGACGCGATATTACACAAGCTTGACATAATCCAGAATCAGGCCCTCAGACTCATGACAGGAGGGACCAGATCAACCCCAATATCGGGGCTAGAATTACAAACAGGCATAGTACCTCTTGAGGCACACCGGGAGCAACTAGCCATTACGCTCTATAAATGGCTAAAACGTCTTAAGATCAGCTACTAGAGTACCTATGAACAAGCACCTGAACGCCTTAAAACACAAATTACTTTTACTAAGGCAGTGGAAGGTTTGAAACCAAGAAAAGGACTAGAACTAGCTGA